CTGTTTTAGTAATAAAAAAAGAATAACTTTATAAAAGTCATCTGTACACCATCAGTTACTCAAGTTCAATGGGCGAAGACATTTTCAAAGCTAAAGATCATAAAGACAGTGTTAAGAAATTTGCTGTCTGAGGAGAATTTGGAATCATTCATGTGGCTATCCATTGAGAAGGAATTGTTAGATGAATTGGATGCAGAAGCAGTTATTGGCAGATTTGCATCATCATCTATTGTATACAAATGATTGCTCTTAATATAGTAGACTTCCTGGAATGCACTATTGTGTTTTTGAACTATCTGTTAAAGTGTAAATTGTGCAGTAAACTATTTAAAAATATTAACCAATTATTTAAAATTAAAAAAAAATTAATAAAATATTTAATTACAACATTCCATATTTATATTTGTTATCCACTGCCATTAATATGTACAGTACATGTACACTGTAATTATTAAGAATTATACATTTTTTCTGCAAAAATTTTAATTGTACCCTTTTTTCCATATGTATGTTTTGAAAATTTTATTTATTGTAGTAGTGTGTGGGCTGGTAATCAATCTTTTTAGACCCAGTCCACCACTTCACACACTCTGCCATTTTATATGTGAGTATTGTAATAAGTTATGTGAGAGAAAGATTAGTTTTTACTGTAGATCGTAGCAACCTTAGTATACTGTTATTTTATTTCCCTTATTGAGTGCTTTCATCTTTTCAGCATAAACATTCAATATTGCCAACAATAGTTCAGTATTATTGTATTTTGGAACTGTTATCTAGTAAAACTTATTTGTTTTGATCTAGGCATTACTGTAGGTAACTGAAATCAAAGGTAATGAAGCTTTGGATAAATGCAACAATTGTACTTTTAAAGAAAAAAAAGTGTTATAAAATTAGTAATTAAGATTAAATTCTGTAGAAAAATGCTTTTGGTTAAGTGAGCATATTTTAATTTTTTTTATTTTTTTTTTGGAAGCATTGTCTTATTACTTAGGCTTTAGTAAGGCATTGCCATGGAAAGGCAAGCTTACATGAATAAAAATGCAAGTTAAAATCTTTATTCCTGAACTGCTTTGATTGATTTATTTTTTATGGCTTATCAACACTTTGTGGAATTTGGTTTGCTGAGTTCAATTCCTACTCTATTCTATTTCCTTCATTTTGTACTAATGCTCTTTGTAAAAAGGCATGTATATATCTTCCTCCAGCTATGAGTTAAATAACAAAGCAAACTGGGCTCTCTTGCATAGAAGTGGAAACCAGTCTAGGAGAAAGAAAACTAAATTCAAACCCAACCTGAAGAGTGACATTCTCTATCAGGCTTTCTTGCCCTAGACACATTGCACCTAACATGGCTACGGTACATGTGGGGCCCCAATGACCCCAATGGGTTATGGGACTTGTATGAAGATTAAAATAGTACAGCACAATATGAAAATTGGTTTTAACAATATCTCTATTCTATTGAAATTTTATCCTTCATTTCATTTTGTTAACTTTGAAAAATCTCAAGTTTAAGCAGACTGTTAGTGTTTAGTTTCAAGTGCTTATCAATTCTTGGAAGGAAAAATGGTTGTTTTCCGGCTTCCAGCTGCAGTATTCTTATGTTGACCTCCATTATCAAGGATTTCTCTTCACATAACAAGATTTGGTAGGAGATTTCATGTCAGCTGTGAGTCTATCCTTGTGGTTTCCTATGGCATGATGCAGAAGGTCTGCCAACAGGATGGGTTCTGGCTTTGTAATATTGTCTGTTCTCTTGTTAGAAGCAGATCTGGAAAACACCCAGGCTTCTGTGATGAGATTCCTTTAAATTTTTCTGTAGTATGCATGTTATTTCACCCAAGGGATTATTCCCATATAATGCAGATTAGTGGGATTTTTTTTCTTTTATGCCATGTCATGAAAAGGATTATAGAGCTTACAATTAATCTGGAATTGTGGACTAAATGACAATGAATAGCTTTCAAGATCAAAAGTGGGATTTAGTGCTTTTGAACAACAAATTCTTTTTTTATATCCTAACATTTACTTAAACCAATTTTGATACTTTATATTGTTATTCATTGGAAATCTGGAAGAAAAGGATTGTCAGTATTCAGGAATTTAGATTTTACTAACAGAATAGTGCTATTATATTTTAGAAAGACCTGTGAAAATTTCATGGTTTACCTATTTTAATATTCTGCTCAATTTTAATTTTTTACTTAATGACTGAATAAGCTCATGGTGAGTTCTACAACAATAAAATATCTGTGGAAATTCCCACATCATATTGTTGAATATTTGAGCTTAACAACTTTAACAAAATATTGCATTAACAATCATAAATATGAATGCTGGTCATTATTTTAAGAAGAAAGGGGGTACAAATGAAAAGATTTGAAATTGACAACTTTTTCCATTTCACTGAAACAGACATTAAATTCTTATATTCCCTTCTCACTGAAACCAAGTAGTGTCTGAGATGTTATCTGTGCTTACATGTGGTCAAAATGGAATAGTCCATTATTGGCAGAGTGTGACAGTTGTGTGAACTAATGAAGGGAGGGACAAGCATAATTATTATATAATGATTGTGGAATGTGCAAATGTTTTGTTGATAATGGTGTGCAGTCTTATATCCTAATATCAGTTTAAACTGATATATTGTGATTATTTTGCTTAAAGCTCAGATTTTCTTGATTTCAGATGAAAACTTGGAAAATTCCCAATATACTTCATTGAAATTTTTATTTTCCAAAATGATAGTTTAGATATATGGGAAAGGGAAGGTGTCAGTTTAAACTGACACCTGGAGAATATATGTCAAGTATGTGGAACATATACACTTAAGCCAATTTGGATTGTTGGTAAAATTATCAGCTATTCTGTGAAAATGTTCTTAACTGAAGTCTTTGTGTTTGAAAAGTCTTGGTAAGTGTTTAAAAAATAAAAAAAAATAGATAAAAAGTGTCTTTAAAAAAACAAAACAAAAAAAGATTCTGTATAGCATATAAGAATCATTCTTCCACTCTGTACTTAATAAAGGGTGTTCTAAGGACTTGGACTGATTTTAAATGTGAATTAAGTTTAAGTGTCTAATGATTTTTTTTCTTTTTCTTTCAGATTTAACAACTTAAGTCTTTGGAAATTTCAAACAGGGAAAGATTAACAATCAAACAACATGTTAAAGTTTCAAGAGTGCAATTGGAAAAATTGTTTGTAAATTCAAATAAACTGGGTCAGTGGCAAATGTGAAAACACCATTGTGCCCTTGTTTATGCCATTCAGCTGAAAACATTGCTGCAGTACATGAGAATGTGGCTGAAAATCCAGACCCCCTCTATTTGTCATTGCACACAGGAATTGAACCTCTTCACAACAATGTTACATTGTTTCCAATTGCATTCTCGGTTGGTCGATTATGTTGACCAAAAAAAATCATTAAATGTATTTCTCTTTGAATGTCCATTTTTGTAATAGGCTTTGATAACTTTAACATATTGTTTGATTGTTAAACCCTCTCTAAACTCTACCATGTCTCTCTAACTACTCCTTATTACACTCTCTGTTAAATTCCAAAAACTTACACTACCCATCAATTTGATATATTGTGATTATTTTGCTTAAAGCTCAGATTTTCTTGATTTCAGACGAAAACTTGGAAAATTCCCAATATATTTCATTGAAATGTATATATCATTCATGTGGAATGATTGAAATTGTTTCCATGGTTGAAATTGCCAAAGACTTAAGTTGTTAAATCTTTGAGAAAAAGAAAAAATCATTAGATGCTTAAACTTAATTCACATTTAAAATCAGTCCAAGTTATTGGAATACCCTTTATTACAGAATTAGATAGCTACTAGTAGCTGTAAGTGTAAGCATTCTGAAAGCAAAGGAAATATTTGACGCAGATTACTTCCACAACACAAAGAAAAATCACTGTAAGTACAGACTCGAATATCGGGGGCAGAAAGAAATGCTGAAAACTCGATTCGCCGGTACTATCTCGAATCACAATGCGTGTAACCAGTCAGAAAAATAATTCCCTCTCAAACAAACGCTGAAGCCAAAAATGCCCGAATTTTCCACCTCCGAATTGAGAACACCAACTGCTTTTATCGGCAGAACCTATTTTTTTCATTCATCGACAGCTGGGATAGGATGCTCCATAATTTGCATATCAAAATACTGTTATAGCGACTCCTGTGACGGACTTGTTTCTTTTTTGTCACTTTTTCCGTTGTAGAATACATGCGACGCACTGTCGCTTGGTTTGACGAGGTAAGTCACTGTTTTCTTTGCTATAAGATTTTTTCTGACTACTTTTTGGTAATGTTTCTTCGGCAGATTGCACACAAAACACAAACTTTTTTCCGGGGTACCTGATTATCTCTTTCACTACAGTAGCCTTCAGTGCTTGGGTGGTCATTAGCTAATCTGATGCCTCACTTTGCATATGCAACCTGAGAGAGATCTCTTGTGTCACTTGCTTTTGAGAAAAAGACCCACTCACTCAAGTCCTGTACACTCCAACAGTGGAGTATGGGGATACAGATTCAACATGATAGATGTTGTTGTTGAGATTTCTGTAGCAAGTATGTTTTCATGCGATGGAATTGCTATCCTCATGTCTACCTGGTTTTGAATTCGGTTTTCTTTCTACCAGACTGGTTACCAACCAAGGCTAAAGAGCTCGGCCTGCTCTACTATTTAACCTATAGTTGTGGGAAGAAGAGATGGATTCATACCTTTCCCAAGGATATTTATAAAAAATATTGAATGTAATGAACTTGGCTGGAATTCAAACTGCTTGCTGATTTCTTGTTCTAATACATTAACTAGTATACCAGTTGCCTACCCTTGGTAGGCCTGAAATGCTCTCAAATATGGTATTCTACATTTAAATTTCACTGCATTATATATATTTGGGAATGTTCTATGGGAAGGGAAAAAAGATGAAGAAATAGTATTAATACTTATATATTATTATTTCATATATGATGTTTTGTTTTCAGGTCTTAAAATCATTCCAGTTCCAATGCTTAAAGACAATTATGCCTACATTATAATTGAAACAAGAAGTCGAAAAACTGTTGTTATTGATCCTGGAGATGCTCATGCTGTACAGGTAGGTTATTTTTTTTTTATTACTATTACAAAATATATCTTTACTGTTAATATTTCAAGACTATTTTTAAGAAATGTTAGGAATACCAAATAAGCTTGCACATGTTTGGAAATGCTGACTTTGGATGATCTTATGAATGTGTCATTAAAACAAAGTAATACAGATTATCAGGTCTATGGTTAGTTGTTTCTCTCTATTGTATAAAGATTATGACATACATATAAGATATGTATCTGTCTACATCAGTGAATCTGTCTACTCTTGTTTTGGCCAAAGTTGACTATATTCTTCATCAATTATATTGTCGTCTATGCTGTTCTTTTCTGTTGCCGGCCTTCCTTGACTTAATTGATTTCTTTTCTGGTTTCCTCACTTGAGGATTATCAACAGCATCAACAACTAAAATGGATAGCACATATAATGGGCTTACAGCCATATCATGCTGAAACACCAGTTTTATATACAATCATCAAAGTTAAGCAATGTTGAGCCTGATCAGTATGGATGACTGCTTGGAAATACCAGATGCTGTAAGCTTGGATGTGCAGGTAGTGTAATGAATAATGGCTCAGAATTGGAAATTGAGTTCCAATTCAAGTCAGGTATGTTATATTCAGCTATGCACCGATACCCTTCTCCCCAAGCTATGGGTTAATTAATAAGACTTATATCAGTAATTCATTATTTTCTCCAACATATACTTTTCTGGCTTTAAATAACCTGCAAAAGGTTGGTAAGCCATAAAAACGGACATGTAACTCAAAGAGAAACTATAATCAAAATGTTGACATCCCACACTACTTCAAGTAAAAAGTTAGGAAGGAAATTCCCATTGATTCTGAAAAGATCAATAACAGCTACTGGACTTGAAAAATCTATTTCCCTGAATTATTGTTTAAGAGAAAGAATTTCTAAATTTCAACTGACAGCAGTATTGGCTGCTTGGTTAATGAATGCCAAATGTTTCCTTGTAGGGAAATGGCTAATATTATAATTTCCAATGCTATTATTGCTCTTTTCATAAACTTAGATTATTTGCTGTTGATATATATACGTGGACATTAAGGTTAGCTCACAGCGGCAAGAGTCTGTTTCATGCTTAAGCATAATTTCCAAACGTTTAAGCATGAAACAGACTGTCACTGGTGGGTGTTGACCTCAGTGTTGACTTAGATATTAGATATACTCTATCTCTGATATTGACTTTAAATATTAACTCATAAATACAGCATACCTTAAACCTATATTTTAATCATATATATATATATGTGTGTGTATATGTGTGTGTGTTTTGCCTGGGGATGTAACAGTAAGAGATAGATCAAGTAATGACCATCATAAAGACTGAAAAATAAAATTGACAAAGATTATTGTTTAAGGCTGACGGACATGCATGTCTTAATTAGATTTTTTTTTTTGTTTTTTGTTTTTTTTTTACGAATTGGTCAAACTCAAACAAAAACATTGTTTTCAATCGTTATGAGTCTACCAATTGAATAGAATTTTATTATAAACAATTGTCTTGTAAATGGAATTTTTAAAGCATTCTGAATGTAAAAATAAAGAAAAAAGTGTGCAAGACAATAAGAAACACTACCTGCCAAAAAAAAAGTGAAGTTTTGTTGAAATCAGTTGAAAAATGTAGGAAATCCGATCACATATATAAACACACACACACACACACACACACAACCTGGGTTTTATAATAAGTATAACTCGATATGAGTTGTTCCCCTTTCATTCTCGCGATGACTCTTAATCGTGTTTTCAAATTGATTTCGTGCAAAAACAATTGTTTTTCCAATTTTTGGCACTGTCAGAACCACCGCAAGGTAATTTTACATAGTCCTGTGAAGTTTTGTTGAAATTGGTTAAAAAATGTAGGAAATCCAATCCAATATATAAAAGTACAGACACACACACACAACCTGGGTTTTATAATAAGTATGATGTGTTGTGAGTGTTGTTTAACTTAGTCTGTACTGCAGGGTATCTGATCAAATCTAAAAGTGGTGGTGCCCATTAAAAATGACCATCAACATCATTTTATAATCATCTATTTTTATTAAGCATCAATTTTCTATTTTATCTAAGATGGGCCAGCACAGCCAGGCAGCAATGTTATAATAAAACAGTAGTGAAAATGTTAAGTATTGTCATAATTCTGTGAATTATTTAGACAAGTATTTTCACTTTTGTTTTGATCACTTCTTTTTAGCTGGTATGTTAATTGGCTTTACTCAGTGGATATGATGCTAAATTTAAAAAAAAAAAATTAGAATGTGTACTGGTGTTTCTTTATCAATTAGATGTATAAATTGTTTTCAGTGGACAGGTACTCTCCACCAAAAAAAAGAAAATGAGATTAAGGATGATGTTCAAAGATTACAGGTTTTTTTTTGGTTTTTTTTGTTTTTTTCACAAAAGTTCACCCTATACAAGGTCCAAGAAAATGGTTGTTCTGTGAATAGTAGGAGGTGTGATGTATGTGAAAGATAACAGTTAAGCCTAGACATGAAGAGGTTAAGATTGTGGTGGTTAGGGAAGCATCCTGTTCTAAAAAGCTATAGTTCTTTGGAAGAAGCGATCAGAGTGGAACTTACTCTATACTAAAGGAATATAAAGGTAATGAAGGTGGTTCACTTCATTGTACTAAAGAATACTAAATAATAAAGAAAGCTGTAGGACATATTCTTAGGGGCTTAATAGAAGGGAATGGGATATTTGTTTATTTATTTTGAGAAAATTTCCTGACATCTCCAGACTTATTAATTTTGTACTTTTTGATCCTTTAAATGATTTTCTGACTTAACCTTTTATTAAGACATCCACCATATATTGCATATTGAGAAAAGTTCTGATTCACAAAATTATTACCCACCTCCCACTTTTATTAGGCACCTAAGTGGACAAACCAAAAGTGAACTAGGTATTTATGCTAATGACACAACCATTTAATCCTGTCTTAGAAGAAAATCTGACAAAGTAAACTTGGTAGCTGCTCTTGAAAAGGACCTTCAATCAGTGGTTAACTGGGGCAAGTAATGGCTTGTAAATTTTAATGCCTCCAAAACAAAATTGCTTTCATTTAATCACCACAGGAAACCTTTTCTGCCTGCCATCAAGATGGCAGTTGCTTCTTGGCCTCACGTTTTTTGCTGATATGAAGTGGAGTGACTATATTGAATCAATTGCTTTGTTTACTACAAGGAAAATTGGTTCAGTGTCATGCCAGAAGATTTTTCTCATCAAAATCCATCTTGCACATTTATCTACCATTTGTCCATGCATGGTTTGGTGCTCTTGCAGTACATCTCAAGATTTTTGATGAAATCCAAAGAAGGGTCTGTAATGTAATTGATCCTGACCAGGCATCCTGACTTCAGTCACTTTCTCACTGGTGTGACGGGACTTTTCTCCAAGTATTTCCATGGCAACTGCTCTGATGAGCTTTTTTCCCTGGTGCTCTGGCTACATGAATTTAAGCATGTTTTCTAGATTGGCAACTAGGTCCCACCATTTTACTGTTAAGATAGCTAGATGCAATCACCACTTCTACTCCAATAGTTTCTTTTCTTGCACTTCCCATCTGTGGAACTCCCTTCTTCTTTCTTGCTTCCCTGATAACTACAATCTTCAAAAATTGAAATGCATCGTCAATCACCACCTGTCTTCTTGAACCCTTTTCCTTTTTTGTCCTTTTCTCAATCCTCCCTATTCTCAGTCTTCTCTTTCATTTTCACTTCTTGTAACTCTCTGCGTTCTAGTGCCTGTCTTGCTTGGTGTGAAATGATTAAAAAATAAAAGAAAATACTAGTCTAAATAATTAATGCAATAAGGAAAAAATTAATTTTTGTTTGGATTTGAAATTGTTCTAATTCAGAATTCTCCTCTTCTCTTTTGCCTAACTTTTTGACTAGTATTTTATTTCATCTTAATTCTTTTAGTTACTTTTTATTGCTGTCAATCTACTGCAGTGAGTGGAGGGTGTGGACTGGAAAACTTTACTCAATACCATAGATTGACAGCTTGGGTGAAATTGTGATTTAAAAGGAAAGCATCTAGAAGAAAGAAAATACCAATCAAAAATTGATAATAATTGTTGACAATATTTTGTTTAATAAGAAAAAAATAAATAGAAAATAAAGATAATGTTACTGCAACTTTCTATTTTTGCTTTTTATTTTCTACTCAAGTTTAAATTTTTCTCTTATTATATATATATATATATATATATATATATATATATATATATATATATATATATATATATATTTGTTATATTGCTTCCATGAACAAAAAGATAGCTAACACCTGATGACGATCACATGATAATCAGGGCATCTCAGATATTTTATAACTTATCAATCTGTTTTTATCTCTAATGAAATTTGTCAAATGTTGCTTCTATTATGGGATTCAGAAAGTAATTATGTATTTCACCATTATAAAAAATGTGTTGATCAACCAGAACTTAGAACTGAGGTTAAATGATAGGAAACTGCATCTAGAATTAGTTTATCATCTCTTCTATCTGAAAGTGTGTCATTTATAATAGATTTCAGAGTTTAATCAGGAAAACTTGCAAAGAGAGAATTTGGGTTTTTACATGAGCTTTCACTTGAAAGCTGAACATAACGTTCCACCATCTGCAGCAGTCTTTTAATCAGAAATGATAAACTTATATTGTTAGAAGTGATAAAAAAAAAGGTGTTTTATATGTCAGCAGAAAGAGTGGATATCACAAAATGAGAGGCCAGTGCCAACACCAAAAGCAGCACTTCATTCACAGAAGTCCTTGTTTTGTCAGATAGAATATGAATGGTAATGGCATTTACGAGTTCTTGGATATTAGGGTGTTTGGAAAGCAATCACATAATCCACCACAATGAATTCTGAGTCAAGCAAGTAAACTTGAACAAAGGTTGAATAGCAAGAAACTGCATCTAGTTATCATCTCTTCTACCTGAAAATAATTATGTATTTCACCATTATAAATAATGATTTGATCAACCAGAACTTAGAACCGAGGTTAGATGATAGGAAACTGCATCTAGAATTAGTTCATCATTTCTTTTATTTGAAAGTGTATCATTTATAATAGATTTCAGAGTTTAATCAGGAAAACTTGCAAAGAGGGAAGTTGGGTTTTTACATGAGCTTTCAGTTAAAAATTGAACATATTCCACCATCCTTTTAGCTTGGAATGCCAAGCCTTCATTTTTACATCACATTCTTGCAGATGATGAAAAATGAGTTTTGTATATCGGCAAAAATGAACAGGACAGTGGTTATTAAAAAATTGAAGTAGTCTCCTCAGACATGTCTAGAGCAATTTCATAATTGGAATTGCTAACAAAAGTAATGGTAAAAGCCTGTATGCATTTTGTGCACATTTCGCTGTTAATTATTTTTCTATTCCATGTCTCATTCATAGGTTTATAAATAATGAAAATAGTATTCTGGCTTGATAACATAAGATTCAGTTTTTGATTTTTAAATAGACTGATTCTTAGTACTGTATGACTCAAGCAGATGATGTTGATGTGTTGGTAGCATAACAGTTATCAGCATTGAAAGAAGTGGGATCCAAGTTCAGATTCTGACCTATTCCATTGCATTTAGTTTTGCACAAATGCCCTGTGAAAAGGCATGGATCCATTCCTTCTACTCACAGGTAAATTGCAAACTAGCCTTGGGTGGCAACCAGGCTAAAAGAAAGAAACCTATAAATTTCAAACTGTTGAGAAGGCAATGGCAAACCACTCTGCTATCTTTTCCAAGAATGTTTGGCAATTCACTGATAATAAAGAAGAGGATTCTGTGGAGAGTCACGATTATCTATATTCTTAAGGGATATAGCATTATATAAAAATTTGTTGTTGCGTCTAGAAAAATCATATTTATAATTTCTGATGCAGTTTCTGACTTGTCTTTCTAATAGATCTGGTCTTGTCTATCATATTTTTTTTTCATTTCTCAGAGCTCCCTATTGCAACACCTTGTTTTGCAGTAAGGTATTTACTCTTGACTTGCTTTGCACAACAAATTTATCTGATTAAACTGAGGAGCAGTTAACAAATCATTTAAAAGCATACAAATATTTTCATGAATTGCTACCTTGTTTTTTATCTCTTTCTCTCTCTCTCTCTCTCTCTCTATATATATATATATATATATATATATATATATATAAAATAAAACATGTCAGTGTTGTGGATAAGATGTGAAGGAGTCAGTTATTTTCTGAGTTAGCCATTTGTTCATGTTCGTATTTGCCTGACGTATGAGCTATTTTAGGTCAAACTGATTTCATCTTCACAAACAGTCTTTACAAGTCAACCATAGAGTATGCAGTGTATAAAGTGTCTTAATGACATCGTGTTATCTCTTACAAGATATTAAATAGTTTTATTCACTGGGTTGGAATTGAAGGTCTGAATTAAATAAAGAAACAAATTGTAGTTTAGAAAATATATTTAGCAGAATATTCTATAACCTTTTAAAGGTTATAGAATATTCTGTTAAATATATTTGCAGCCTTTTGAGGGCAACATTTTTTTTTTTTATACAACACAAATGAGTTTTCAAAGTTTGTGAATTCCTTCAAATTTTATAATCACAGTGAACATACTGCATAACTTCAAAGCAATTGCAAATCCACATTTACACTGAGGTTCACTTGGAGATAAAGCTCAGTGTTAGATTGGAGGACTTAAGGTCTTATTCCATAAACTTTGTTACCATACATCCAGATTATTTCTATTTTTTAGTAATTGGTGGTTGTAAAACTGATAAGACAAAAGCTGTATAAAGTTCAAACATTTATGAACATGAACTCAGTAGAATTTTTTTTTTTATAGATATTATTTTTCAACAAATTATTTCTTCATTTAAGCAAACAGGAGGATCAGTTTGAAACTGAGTTTAAAAAAACGTTACAATAATCATTTTCTAATACATGTTTTTAGAAAAATATTTTCCTAGCTAATTTTTCTGCTAAAATCATTTCTCAGTTCAGTTTTCCAGAAAAAACAGTTTTCAGTGCATCTCCATGCATTGAGCATTTGTAACCAAGTAAGTTAAGGTGGTTGATGTTAACCTGTCTATCAATATAGTAAAAACGGTTTTAGAGGAATCAGAGGAATGAATTATTGTTCAAATGTTGACATAAAAACAAATTCAAATTTCCATAATATAATTTTGCCTTAATGAGCTACCCAAAATCACTCCCATCTCCTAAACTCTTCAAATGTCAATATAGAAATAAAAAATAAAAAACTAATTCTAATTTCCATTGTAAAATTTTACCATATTTAGCTACACTAAGTTACTCTTCTCCCTCTCTAAAACTGTTTATACTATATTGATTATAATTCATAAACCTAATTTTCGTTAATCCCCTATGACTCTTTATCTATAAATTCTTTTAAATTTATTTTTGGGTTCATTCTTAATTTCTTCTTTAATTTTAAATTTCGGTTAAAATCTCGTGTTTTCTTCTAATACCCCCATTTGTCATCATAAGGTTAATATTCTGGGCTTTCCTTAATGAAGCATCTCCTCTTTAAGAAAGATACCTACCACCCTCCTTAACCCCTGCCTCATGCCTTGCCTAGCGTCCAACTGAAACAGGGAAAAGTATAAACTCTGTATTAGGTGCAAGTTATGGTTTAGGTTGACCCTTTAGCTGCCAATATCAATTCTTCACAGTTAAATCCTACTACCTCCCACTTCCTCTAACCTTACAGATGTGAACATCATTCCACACTGGGGTTGAAAAGAAATAGCCTATTCCCCATATGAGGTAAAAGGATTTGTTTGATTATTAATTTCATATATATATATATATATATATATATATATATATATATATATATATATGATGATCAGACAATAGAATTAATTCCTATTGTTTGAATATATCTTGCTCTGTTTAATTAAAACATTGAGCTCTATGTGTGAATCAGTTTTAATATTTAATAGTTTATATTGTATTAATAGGACTCACTTGGATTATATACCAATGAATTATTTTAACACATGTCACACCTCACTTGCATCACAAGCCTATGTTACAACACTCACTACTTCTACATAACTCACCAATTGTCTCTATCTACCCTGATGATGACTTAAGATTATTGAAAGCTTGGACTATATTTCTTGTATTTTTCTTCCAAAATGATCATTAAAATTAATCAACACAAATGTCTGTCATCTTAATATTATTTGTCTTAAAGAATATTTGCTACGTAAATACCTGGATATCTGTCTATATTTCAGAGATGAGGTATTGTAATTATTTACATTGTTTGGACTGTTGTCCTCTTTACTGACATATTCACAACGTTTTGGCCATTGTATGCTCCAGTCTTCTTCAGGTGATTGGAATTTTGAATTGAATCCTTTATTTCATCCACCAAGGTAGATTTTTCTAGTTCCATGTGTCATGCCTCTTTTGGATGTTTCAGTTATCTCCCTTTAACTCAACTATCCAAGTTTTTTTGTTTACCACTGCCATAGTCAAGTATTGAACTCACAATTCTTATCCACTGGGCCATTTTTATAATGCCTATTTTATATCTAAGTGGACATTGATTAATAAAATTAAGGTTGCAAGAGTTTTTTTGCATAGAGAAGTCATGACTGTGTTATTACTAGATTCGACAAGAACGTCTAACAATGGGAGTTTATTTTTTTTGACTAAGTTCATAGGTAAAGTTAAGGACAATTTTTTTTTTTTTTAATATAGTTTTGAGATTATCAATTTTGTTTTTGTTTTCAGCTAATATAAAAATATCATCTCCATAACAGGCATATATTTTAGTTGTAGTAATGTTTTAAATTCCATGTCTCATGTTGAAAACAAGGTATTCTTCTACAAAAACTGATCACTTGCTGAACTTATTTTGATCAACACAATGTTTCTTCTATGTGACATGTTCCTTCAGGACATTGACAATCATGGCTCTCCACAATTTCCTGTTCTTTGTAGCACTGAATAAATTTTGTCTTTTTGTTTTCTCTCATAAACCCTGTTCTATGATCCATTTACTCAAGCTTGCTAGGTAGATTATACATTGTTTTCGTCTGTCCTGTGAGTATCAAATTTTCCAAGTCCTCTTTCTTCATTATGACTTATGGCTATATCATGTTGAAACATTGGTTCCCATACGATAACTGAAGTTAAGCAACATCAAGCCTGGTTAGTACCTAGATGGGTGACTACTTGGGAATACCAGGCACTGTAAGTTTGGATGTGTGGGTGGTGTAATAGATAATGGCTTGGAATTGTTAATTATAGAGCCAAGTTCCAATTCCAGTTGGATTCATTATATTCACTTACATGCAAATACCCTTGGGAAAGATATGAATCTACTGCTTCTCCTCCCAGCTATGGGTTAATTATTAAAACATGTATAATTTAAAACATTATTATCTTCAAAAACATTCACAATCTAAAAATATTTTCTGGCTTTCAGTCCTTGGTATTCTCAGCATCTTTCGTTTTCGTCAAGTCTCTTTATCTGTGAGGAGATTGTCCAGCATTCAATGCTATAGATGAGAACTGATATTACATAACAGTTTAGTACTCTTTTCTGTTTCTTAATACTTTGCTTATCTTTTGGAAGGTATTTTTCATTATTCCAATGCACCTTTGGATTTGAATGTCGCATTTTCGGTCTTCTGTTAAAACACATCCCTGATATTTAAATTGTTGTACTTTTGAGAACCTCTGACTGGCTGCACTAAGTACTTCATGAAAGAGTGATCTCAAGAGTCAATAAATTTTACTACTAGTTTTGAATATTTTATATTCCAGTTGACATAACTTTTGTAATTTTTTTTTTCTAGGAAACACTAAAAAAGGCGAATGTAACCCCATCAGCTGTGCTTACAACACATAAACACTGGTAAGATTTTTTTTTTAAATGTTTTACATTATTTCTTTCATTTTCATAAAATATTGTAAACTTTTTTTTTTGTGTTCACTAATAATTTTTTGTTTGTCAACTGAAATAATTAAAAAAAATGTATTTAAACTGTAAAAAGTTAATTTATTGTATTATAGAAATAGTATAATTTTTTTATTAATATTGATTAAGTTTTTTAGAAATATGTTTTTAAGTGCATTTAACTAAATTTGAGTTAAAACTGGAGTTTTTTTTTCCAGAATATTAGCAAATAAGCTTCACAGAAAATTAGAATAAAGCTTTTTGAAATGTGAGTGTTTAGCAGTGTGATACAAGGGTAATTCAAAAATTATCTGCTCTTTTGCCATAATGTATCTTTTAGGTTTGTCACAATACCTTCTGCTCATGCCTGTTTATATTTGGTACTATTGTGGTCACATGATCAAAGTTTGAGCTTGATCATGCCAGTTTTCTTGCTGCTGTTACAGTATAAACATGGTTGCTCCATTAGTAATGTGCCCCAAGGAGAAACAGTGTAGTAATCTGATTTCTCTGGTTAGAAGGTGTGTCTGGCTGCAATTCATCAGAGGCTTTTAACACAATATGGTGACAGGACACTACTGTGTAGGAGTAGATCAAGAAGTTTAAGAAGTGGCTGGACAAGTGTGACTTCTGAAGAAGGAACAGAGCACTCATCAACCTCCACCACTGATGAGAAGATTCAGCAAGCTTGAGAGATAGTAATGGTGAATTGACAGGTTATCAATGAGGTAACATATTCTCTGCAGCTTTGGATCACTGCTCTTTGTTCCTCCTTGGTGCACACTGCTAGTGGAGTGGCCATGTTTACACTGTAACAACAGCAAGAAAACTGGGGCAATCAAGCTCAAACTTCAATTATATGACCACAATAGTACCAAATATAAGCACAGATGAGCATAAGGTAGTGTGATAAACCTCAAGATAGGTTATGGCGAAAGTGCAGATCATTTTTGTTTTATTCAAGCTTAGTAGTGGATAAATTAAAAGATGACAATTTGAAATGAGGGGAGAATTGAAGGAACCTGTATTCCAAGGAGAGAAAAATGACCTGCATATCTGAGAACTGTTGGTTTAGTATAAGTGAAAAACTTTTCAAGTATTTTTTTTCCTGTTAATATGGTAAGTTTTCTGAAGAGAAGAAAGAAAAAAAATAGTTCTTTTATGATTCAATAATGTGTTCATGGCATTATTAAAAAATGAGGGTATTATTTATATATTGATCAACACTTTTGTCTTGAATCAGTGTAGTATCTGGCTAAGATCAGTGTACCATCTGTGCAATTTGTCTTGGATCAGTGTACCATCTGTGCAATTTGTCTTGGATCAGTGTACCATCTGTGCAATTTGTCTTGGATCAGTGTACCATCTGTGCAATTTGTCTTGGATAGCATCCATGCAGTCTGGTTAGGATCGGTGTAACACTCTGTGACAGGTGTTATCCACTGATACACATTTTTGATTTATATGTTGATTAGTGCTTTTACGAAGAGCAAAGAACAGAAGTTCTGGAATAGTGAAATTAGTATGCATTAATCAAGAAGTAACAATGGATAGTGTAATTGATACTGGTACGAAAAGTGAACTTGGCAAGCAAAGTTCAAATTCCAGGCTAGTCTGTTACATTCGCTTTCATGCCGTTGCCCTTGGGTGCAGAACTTTAAACATAGATATTTAAATTTTTGTAATTATATGATTTTGGTATCTCCAATTTGTAATTTGCAAGTTTGGCTGTCCCTTTTTCTGACAACCATCCTTTCATCTTCTTGTAAATGATATTTAGTCCTTTCTTCCTGCTTTCCTTCACTACTTCCTGTAGGAGTTCTTGTAGTTTCTTTTACTGTGTCTTCTATTAACATTGTGCCATCATTATATCTTATGTTGTTAAAATTGTGGCTGCCAATAATGAATCCTGGTAGGACTTTTAATTCAGAAACAAAGAAAAGAGTACTGAACTTTTACGTAATATCAGTCCTAGATGACAGAGAATGCTGAAAAATTTCCTCACAGATGAAGAGACTTGAAGCAACTGAAATGTGGCTCTACAGAAGGATTCTGAGGAAATCATAGACTGAGCAATGACAAAGTTTAAAAAAAATGGTAACAAAAAGGACACTTATACATCAGAAATTTTTAGGGTACATAATGAAGAGAGGGAGCTTGGAAAATTTGTTACTCACAAGACAGATTGAAGGCAAGAGGAACAGAGGAAAACAATTCATAACCTACCTAACAAGCTTGTGTAAATGGATGGTAGAACTGTGTTTAGGAGAAATAACAAAAAGATAAATTTATTAAGATCCACAAAGGATAGGAAAGTGTGGAGAGCCATGATCACCAACATCCTGAAGCAACATGATGCATAGAAGAAATAGTAATTAGATGTAATAATTAATTCTACTAAATCGAAGTTATAAGAATAAAATACTACTATGAGGTGCATACTGAAAACTTCTTGGTTTAACCAAGGAGAGACCCCCCCAAGAAAACTATTCTGATGTTTGCTGATTTGGTCAGATGTTGGGAAATATGTCAATAGGGTCAAGAAATTCACCACACCCTCATACAACTAATTATACAAAAACAAATATCTAATGTAACTTAAATTTGATAATGAAAAAACTTTAACTAAAACACTAATAATTATAAAACAATAAAATATTACTAATATTTCTACTATTGATATGAAGTAAGCATTGGTTAGTATGGTAGAAGGTCACAAGTGTGGAGCACCTGTGAGGATATAATTCACTATAGAACAGTCTTTAAGATTAAACTTGCTAATTATTGCTTTTCATCTTACTACTATTACTAGTAATAATAGAAAAAATACAGATATTCCCCAACTTAAGGACTGAAAATAAGACTATGTTGAATTAACTTTTAAATGTATTTTATAGAGATAGGAATTTTTTCAATCATTTCACTCCAAGCAAAGCAGAGAGAGAGAGAGAGAGGGAACAGGAATTAAGAAGAGAAAAGCATTTAAATTTTTGGAGGTCAAAGTTGACTGGAAAGTAAGGAGCTGAAAGAGATTTCCACAAGTGAGAAGTGTGAGGAAAAAAACTGTTAGTATAGAACTTCTAGTTACATCTAGTGATTTCATCTCCCCCCAAAAATTTGTATTTAAATTCTTGAAGATCAATGTTGACTGGAAAGCAACAAGGTGGAAGAGATTTCCACAAGTGAGAAGTGTGAGAAAAGAAACTGTTAGCACAGAACTAAGTTACACCTTACCATTTAACTGTAAAATGATGAGACATTGCCATTAAACTAGTCAGTCAGTCACATGTGCCACATGCTTGGGTGATCATGCATCTTTCGATACATGACTGACTAGGCAAATTTTTCCCACAGTAGTTTGCTGTTACTTTCTGGGGTAGGCTGGTTGCTCAATCTGCTATTCAACCCATAGCTGGGGATATTTGTGTGTAAGTGAATGTAATAAACCTGACTGGAATTCAAACTTGGCTTCCCAATCTCTCATTCTGAGCTGATATCCATTACACTACAACACAATCTAATACTGTGCTTAAATTCATTAAGTCTAGATACCAAAGAGGAAAACACCTCAGAACAGTTACCATGAAAATACTTATAGAAAAGGCACAGGGAAGTTATGTTAAGCATATTACTGATGGTTAGGTTAAGTCTAGGTACCAAAGAGAAAAGTGTATGTATGCATAGCGTAATGGTTATCAGTGCATAAAGTGAAATTGACATGCCAAGTTCAAATTCCAGCTGAGTTGGTTGTGTTCATTTTGCACAAATACTCTTGGGGAAGGTATTAATCCATCTTTTCCCCTCTATGGATTAAGTAGTGGAACAAACTGGGCTAAGAGAGCAAGAACTCTGAATTTAAAATCAGTTGGGCATGAGGCTGGCTTATGGCCATATAACATTGAAACACTGCACAATAACTAAAGTTAAGCAACGTCAAGCCTGGTCAGTACCTACATGAGTGACTGCTTGGGAATATTAGGTGGTGTAACTAATAAAAGCTCAGTATTGGAAGTCAGGTTTGTTTTTATTTACTTAGGCACAAAAAACCTTGGGAAAGGTATGGTTCCACCTCTTCTCCCCCAGCTATGGGTTAATTAGTAGGACTTATATCAGTAAATCATTATCATCTTCAAAAAATACAATCTAAAAATATTTTCTGGCTTTAAATAACCTGCAAAGGTTGATAAACTGTAATAAACAAATCAATGAATGAGTCTGGCAAGTCTGTAAAAACCTAACTGCTACAGAAACTACAATAACACATAGCATGGTAAGGGTGTGGCCCTATACTCCACAGGAGTCTAATGGCACTAAGAGAAGGAGAAGCTTCTTAGTTCTTGTCCTTGAATATTTTCCTTCTTAAAAATATGGTTAAAATTACCACAATTATTTTATTAAATAAAAGAAAAACAGTTCATAGTATATAATTAAGTGAAATTAGTCACTTCCAATTCATAAAATGGTATAAATAAATCACTAATTGCTGTCAGATGAAGCCCACATTTCAGTAAGGCTTATCAGTGACCACAGAATTATAAAGAAAATCATACACCATGTATAAAAAAACAATTCAAACATATTTTGTAGTTTAATCAGTTTTCATGCAATTTATATCATCAGAAAGAAGAAAAAAATGATATAAAAATTCTTTCATTATATGAAAATACAATTTTTTTTGTGTTTGAAGTTTGTATACCTTTTTAAAAAGAAAACACATGGAAAATCAATTAAAAAATTTCAGTGCTAAAATACACTAGAATTTTAAAACTCTACTAAAATATAACGAATTAACAGAATTTATTAAAACTTGATATTTATTCATTAATTACTGAAGGGAGTTAAAATTTTAATGAAAAAAAGTAATTTTAATTTCAAAACCTTGTAACTTTAAACTATCAGAAATCATGCAGTCATAAGATGGAGATTATTTGTTTGAAGAGAACAAATTTACCTTAGCA